TAGACAAACATCAAATGTGTATAGAACATTATTAGATATGGAAATACCCAATGATGTCACTATGGTCTTTGTTTTTACACTTGACTTCACGCATAACACAAGATCTTGCAGTGACTGGATACTGTACAACCATCATAGTCGATGTTGAACGGAAAAGGACAGTTGTTTTGAGCATACATGAATACATAATCCAAATTCTCAAATCCCTCTTGACCTTCAACTTTTTTCACAAAGAAGATAAAAGCTATTCAAAGTCTGACAAAAACCAGAGCAGGTACCTAAAATGGTACAAATCTTATAATTATCAAATTTAAGCTCCACATACTTTCTACAAGTTGATCTTATTATGCAAACCAATGGCAGTTTCACTGTATGATCACAGCTATATCACAGTGTTAGTAAAAAATGAAGAGTTGCAAACAAGTCTTTGTACTGTATCAGTCACTCACGTTCATGTGAAATTTTGCATTATCATGATACATTCAGTAATAGGATAAAATGCGAGTCAATCATTTAGGTTTTACATCTGTACCATATGAATACATGTTATGCATTTGTTCAACTTGGTTCACATTGAAGTATGCAATGAAGAAATTTACAATATTATTATAAGCAAACATGTATATTGAATATCTACCATTTTAGTTTCTACGTATATAAATCAAAGTCCACTCTTTTAGAATTATAGAACTGTTGCGATCCTATCTTTCGAACCCAAACTTCAGATTCAAAATAGCCGTCCTCACACCAGCTCTGCATTTGGTGGCTACTGAATGGTCCAAACACCTCACTGTCATCTTTATTTTCCCATTTATATTCCCAAAATACTTCATCATCTTTGAATCCAGCACTGGTTCCTTTTGAGTCTTCACCATTAGCTATTTGATATAACAAAGTTATTTTAACATCAATATCATATCATACATCATATTATATCATATCATATCATATATCAGACGTGCTCAAAACAGTCATTTGTATACATACAAGCCGTTACAGTCAGTCTGTCATGATGATTTTAACACCAACAAACATACCCTGATGCAGTAGAGATAATGTGTATACTGAAGTCCGCAAAGACATGATTTAATATACTTATAACAATATAAATTCAACTGTTTTCAAATCCAAATGAACCGTTATCCTTGGATTGGTTAGGCAGGCACCTCCAACGTTCAATGAAGTGTTTGTGCATAAATTAGAATGAGTTATAACCATGTACATCATGGTATGCACTCATTAAATATTTTATTTTATAAATATTTTATAATGTACATTCTTCAGCTGATCCCTTGGACAAACATTGGTATGACATGTGTCTAATGGTATTCACATGTATCTAAACTTTCAGATGTACTGGTTGCTATAGTAGCATACTTAATAACTTTTAGAGAATTTCCGAATCACAGATCAATTATTATTTTTTTTTTCACCTGGAGCTACTTCTAAATAAATTATGCTAAGAAAAATAATATTGTTTTACGTCCTTGCTGTTATCGTATCATGACAAATTTCTAGCAGTTAAAATTTAAAGTGACATTGTGCATAATGATTGATACGGTTCCATGCAACATAGACAACACACGTTTTCATTGTGTATTTACATGATATTTGATGGCACACTCCAAACACTGGTGGCGCCCTCACTTCCGTTCCTCATATATGCACATATACAAATTACGGTGTGGCAGTGGTGAAAACCCGAATGATAGGAACGGAATTGAATTAATATACTAAACACTATTTCAAATACAGTCGCATAGTAAATACATGCACTTCACCAGTATGACATTGCTATCCCTCACCTTTTGAAGTAGTAGCTTTGCTAAGCTTATCTTTATCAACGTCATCCGCAAACATATCAAATGCATCTTCATTCTTACTGGGAGCGGAAATATTGAATTTTGACTGTTCTTTTTGTTTCAACGCATGCTGTATTTTCTCGTATGTATACTGATATACATCATACACCCCACGCTGAACAATCTCATTGACTAACTCTGTTAACTTTAACATGTCTTCCTTGTTAATGTCTTTTTCAGTTTTCTCAGTTTTCTGTTTTTTAGCCTGCCATTTTCTCCTACTGTCCGTAACACTCCCTCCACCTCCAAGTCTCTTGACTGCTTTTGCAATCGTTTCACCGGGTTTCATGAATGTCAGTATCTCTGTGTATACTTTGATTTCATCTAAAGGGTCACTATCATCATCACTATCATCATCTTCGTTATCATTTTGTTTCGCCTTTTCTTTAATTTTAACCCAATCAATGTTGTCCATCCAGTTATCGCGAATGAGATCCTCTTTTGATTCAAAGTAGTTTCCTTCATTATCAAAGTGTCCCTCCTCCATTTCTTCTTTTAAGTTAAATGGTGTGATTCTAACACCACCTTCATAATCAACAGTGGCAGCTTCTTGACCTGAATTATGAAACAAATTACAATCACATTACAAAATACAAAATACCTAACACTGAATTTTTAACAAATTGCTCTGTGATAGAAATAGACCTCATAGAAAAAAAAACACAATATGATCACAAAAATACATTTCTGTGAGAGCAAGCAAGTCTGTGTCCATCTCAGGTTAATTTTTCGAGTATTTAGTGTGTTTGACTTTTTCAATAGGGTCATAGACACATTCATTTCTGTTTTCCCAATTATAGTAACTAGCAAATGCTCATGGCCATCTGTTATGCTATTGGTTGGTACAAGTTTGAATGATGCAGACTTGGAACACAGAATTAGATCTCGATCTCATATCACCATACATATGTAAATTCTGCTCTTACTTAAATTCTTGGTTATGATTACTGGTATGTTTACTATCAGTAAAGTAAGTTTGGTTCACTGAACAAGTGGAAACGAAATAAGACCATATACCCATGTATGTCTGTGGACTCTAAACTGAGGCTGAATTATTATTCAGAGCACCAAGGTTGTCGCATTCATCCACATGTTCAACAACAAACATTGTTTTTACACGCCATGTTTACGTCTATCTCATGGGACCCATATTGGATGCAATGCGACAACTGTGGTGCTCTAATGCTAACTCCAGACGTACCTTCTATGTCGTCTTCTGTTAATTCGTAAGTAGAAGCATCCTTCCCATCATCCTCTTCGTCGCTATCCAGGGAGTGTTTGGATTTGAAACGGGTACTAGTTTGTTCTTCTTCTCCCTTCTCATCCATCTCTGGAAAGTGGACTGTTTTCTTCTCAGACATTGTGAAGACTCTGATTTACAAAATAATTTGATGACTTTAGAACATTTTACATGTGTCCCTGTATATAATAATAAGGACCAGTGAGAGCAGTAATGGTAACTATATACTAGTATGAGTCGTGCAGGCAGAGGCAGACTGGAAATTCAAATTCAAATAAGAACAAGATTGTTTAACAATGCCATGTAACTTTGAGTGTTGCGCAGATAAATGTGTATAGGAAAATGACAATAACAAAATTTATATACCGCAACCATTTACCAGACTAAAACTCACATGTGTATTTGTCGTCATATTGAATTGTTAGTGGAGCACGATAGATTATGGGAGAATCAATGTGTTTATCAACACAAAGGCAAAGCAAGATGATGATCGAGCGTCTTTAATCCACGCTGAATCAGTGATGTCACAATACAAGCTGGTACAATGCGTAACTCTCATTTAATTTTAAGATATTTAGGTTCATAAGTCAACATACATGGCTCTGGAGACTTTGGTGCATTTTAAATAATGAACAACAATACAACCAAACCAGTTGGCACTTTGAACAATATTGTTTTCATTCAGTCTGACGTCGCTAAAAGCTTCATCGATAGAGGGCGCGACTTACAGGGTAACTAAATTGTTTTTATTTGACCTTCAACCTCTACGTGTCTGATTACATATTTAGGTTGTCTATGAATATCAACAAAAGTCCGCGCGTGAATTATCTCAATTAAAATAAAAAATATCACAGTTTACATAAATCATGCAGCCTGTAGCTTCAGATATCATGTGCCCCTGGATCGAGTATAATGGCATGCATCAGTATGTTATCTTTGCAAGCATTATACACGGTTACTAACCGTGCATGATATGATAACTGTATCTCTCAAACGTGATATCACAACAGTGATTCAATTAATATTCAAGTTCGCTCGCCATGGAGTACGTTCAAGAAAGTAAAATACTGAAGTGAAGACGTCGTGTTTACGAACATGATATTGCAGTCCGAGTACAAATATAACTGTGTGATCGCATGGCAAGTGAAAACAATTGACAGCGTTTGATACCTTTCACAAGTTAGACGCAGTCTGGATATTTTCCTTGATTTCTGTTTTGATAGCACGCCAAATTTACAGAAAAACACTCAATACAAATCAAAACGTCAGTTTTAACGTCCATATATAGTAGAGAAACCGTAAACACATGAACGTGCAAAAAGTCTCGTTCGCCGACGGACCTCTCGCGTGAATTCAAACTCGTTCATCTGATTGGTCAACACAAAGAGCGTACTAAATTCAACATTTGTGTGAGATACTCACACATAAACACATTCGTATATCTTGTACATATGCAGATTAAAGCCTCGATTCCTCTTCGTTTATGTGATAATATCATGTGGATAAGGTTCTATATACACTGAAGGGTAAGTTATAACTGGGCGAATGTCAGTGAAGTGAATGTAAAATTGTATTTTTTTTTATATACAAACCGTAATCACGATATCATCCACCATAATTCGTTCATTGAAAACTAAACGCTTTACCTCATCAGAAAGCATTGTTCATCGGCTTAGGATTTTCACGTAAGGCTGATCGAGGTTTGGAAATGCAACGTACATGTGTTCATGTGTGTATGGTCGACTACCTGTGTACGTTAGTCTAAATTTTGACTTCTACAGTCAACAGATCGATAAGTACGTAATATTGAAATAACCAGTAGTTCAATATCTCCATTGTCATTAAAGGGCTGTAGTCGTCACGCCACACATGCGCGAGATATATGGGTCTTTTATAACAAAGATGGTGACTTTGACTGCTGCGCAGATTAACGAGTACAAACTTGAGACATTTCCATGCTTTAATTAGATAATTTTTAGGTGATTGGAAGGTATCAAAGGAGTCACCTGGCGGTATTCAGTGCAAGTCGCGCCCAGGTCAAGCCTCATACTTGTGATTTCCATTTAAAGAGTGCATTGGATTGTGGGAAAACCAATGTTTATCAACACAAATGTTGCACATGCGCAGCACACTGACCTCCACGCTTTAATTTATGATAGAAACTTTACATAGTAAAGTTAGCAATTCCTTTCAGTTTCAATTGGCGGATGAATATAGTGAAGCGATTTATAGTAAACAAGATGTCTACCACACTGGATCAATAAACTGCAACAATATTATTGATGGATAATCTTAAACATGAATTAAAGCTCATGTCATAATTTAAACAAACACAGTATGATTGTTAATAAAAATTATTTTCAAAATGCAATCAAAGTTTTTTATTATTATTATTATTATTTCAGTGTATATATTTTAATGATGAAAAAGGCAGTTAATCACAGCAGAGTTCAAGTTGTTGTTCGTTTACGTCCTGTACTTGATGAAGCGGAGATTGATGTTGAGCCATGTGTACGAGAACTAGATGGCAACTCACTTGAGATTTTCAATTGGAGGAACAATAAAGAAACACTTAAATATCGGTAAGCTTGAAGGACAATGCGTGGTCTGAGGGGTTATAACAAGGGCATGTACATGCATGTAAAGATAGGAAAATAAGGTGAAATTAGCATTATATTATATGTGCTTTCAAATAACCACCATGTATTTTTTTTTTATTAGTTTTGATGCTTTCTATGGTAAAAGTTCATCACAAGAGGAAGTTTTTGAATCCTCGGTAGCTTCACTACTTGTACACACACTAAATGGGACAAAATGCAAGTGTGTTTGCATATGGTGCCACTGGTACAGGTACGTTTATTTACGTAAGTTGCGTCATAGAGTTTTGAATTCCAAACACAATAGTATGACCTTGTTTGCAACATTGCATTTATCCAGTTAAGAATACAGTATATTGAATGTTCTTGTTGACAGGTAAAACCCACACCATGCTGGGTAGACCAGGAGACATTGGTGTAATACCAAGAAGTGTACAGAAAATATTATCTGTTGCTAAAAGTGAAAGTGCTACTTGGAAATACAGTATCCAGTTTTCATATCTGGAAATATACCAAGAGAGGGTAAATATTTTATAAATCTTTATATTTTTTTTAATTTTCTGTTGTATAGTATAGTATATACATGTTAATGTGTTCGTGTTCATCAGTGTTAAGCATTGTTTTATTTTTTTGTCGTCTTGAAATTGACAGTGGTAAATTGTACCATGAAAGCTTTATGTGTGGTAATAGTTCCATTGAGAAATGGATCATATGGATGTGTTGAGTGTCTGTGTCAATTCTTGCTGTGACCTTGAGCAAAGCTATGTCACTAAAAAGACATAAATGTATGAGTTGATCGCACAATTCTCCCAACAAAGTCACAGATTGCATTTTGTGTAAATATGCCCAATATCCTGGGAATGATGAAAACGAAGCAAATTGCGATTTCTGTAATTTTGATTGCATTTATCTCAGAAGAACACCACAAAGATTTGTTATGACACAACTAATTGTGCTAATTCACTGGCATGTCATCGACGCAACAGAAAATCATACATACATACATGTATAGTGATCTTGAAAAACATTTATCTATAATTTAAATTTGTAATTTCTCATTTTGTAGGAGAAAATTCACATTATGATTTTTATAAACAAAATGAATGTAAATGCAAAGGAAATCAGGGGGTACAACATTTTTGTTTCTGTCTCTATTCACCTACATTTGTACACAGTCATATACAATTTTATTTTTTTTTAAAGACCAACCTTTCCTTCAGGCAATGAGCTGACTCAACTTGAATTTGGGGATTCCACTTTGACTCAGGGTTCCCACAAAATCAGTCCTTTTAGAAGGCACAATGATTGTACATAGCCTGGAGTCATAACCATAACATAACAACCATAACAACACACGCTAAAAATGCAAAGGCTCATGGGTAGAAGCTTGTTTGTAAACAATGACACGCTATGACCATCTGAGGCATGCGCAGGTGACGACTCTCCCGCTTTAAACCTACCATACCTAAATAAACATAATTGATATTCGTTTCAGGTATATGACTTATTGGTGCCTAAAAACCATGATTTACAAATAAGAGAAGACAGAGATAGAAATATAATCATACCATCACTAGCTGTGAAAGAAATCACATCGTATGAACAATTTCAGAAATACTTTATTCCAGCCAGTCATAACAGGTACCAATTGTGTATATCTCATTACACTAAAATGTTTACTTTATTAGTATTTACACATAATCAAAAATAGCGTCTACATGTATGTGTATAGACACACCATTGTCAATGACAAATAGCACATGAGAATGTCAACAACAAAAAAACACAATAAATCTCCCTCGCAGCAATGTAATATCATAGAAATTTTACCAGTGGTGCATCTTTATCAGCCAAGGTTCATTTATTCAGCCGTCACCTTACCATTATACCTTAGCAGAACTTCTACTATAAACCTGTATTTACTCTTGACGAAATCAATCACAACGGGGTATGCTCAGGAGCA